TTTTATTATGGGTAAATATTATCCATGTATCATTATTGAATTGAAGCAGCGATGTGGTGAAGCAAAATCACATGTAAAATGAGCGTAAGTATTTTTCATGGGGTCGCTTATGTGAAACTGTATATATTAATTTATTCATTCGGTTTTGTGACATAGACTTGTCAAGATTTCAATTGTTTAAAAAATAAATAAATTTTTTTTTGATAATTATTTATTTAATTGATTTGTTTTGTGCTGCCAATTGGCGGTTCAGATTAATTACAAAACAAGTATAAAATGTGCGTTGCCAAAGATGCAAATTTGTATGTATTATATAAAATTTACGAATAATATATTTTTTTACAGATATAGCAAATTAAAAAAATAAATAATAAATTAAAATAAAAAATTATTAAGAAGCAAATTCTCTAATAAAATAGAAATTTTATGGTAAAACCTCTGGTATGAGTTTATCTTCGTATGAACTGATAGTAAAAACTGGTAAATGCTATGCTGTACGATCAGGCGTTTGGTATCGTTCAAATATTACGTAAGCAAATTTATTACAATTATTTACCCCCCCCCCACCCCCCTTGTGAGCAAAAGTAAGCAAAGCTCTTACCTCCTACCCCCATGCTTACGTAAACATTTTGCAATTAATGTAAAAAAATAAAAATACTACCTATGATGTAATCATCATCCAGTCTCCCCTGCCCCCCATGTCAACCCAAAATAAGCAAATCAACACCCCCCCGCCCCCCTATAGTGCTTACGTAATACTTGAACGGCCCCTTTTACACATAAAACCTAACTTCACGTATGTGTTATCAAGGGACATCAGAAAGATGCACTTATTAGTCCAGTCATGATAATAAGTTTACCTCGGAATTCGAGATACCCAGCTGTAAGTCTGCAAATACTTGTATATTAACACCCTAAAGTTGTCTCAAATCCTACATATGGTATTGACATCCTATCATATGTAGGTTTTGAGACAATTTTAGGGTGTCAATATACAAGTATTTACAGACCTACTGCTGGTTATCCCGAATTCCAAGATTTTTAATTTAAGCTTAAATGACTGGGCTATATGATAAAATTGTTATATGACGTTTGTGCATTTTGTAGGTTAGGTTTCATGTGTGACTGCAAGTACATAGCGTTTTGGCAATTCTTATTACCAATTCATACGATGGTAGACTCATAATATAGTGTTATCATAACATTTCTATTTTGTCAAAGAATTGGCCTCTAAATCAGTAGTAATTATATTAATATATTGCTATCAGTTTCATCATTCAAGTAAATCAAGAAGTTATCTAACGATTATAAGTAATTGTTTTAGTTAGGTATTATTATGCATGTCGCTTGCCAATCAGATATATTCAATTAGTTTGTTAAATCAGTCGTACGTTCGTATTAAAATAGTTCAATTTCATGAGAGGAAATCATTATTTAACAAATATTCATTCATTCATTTTGTAGAATAAATATTTCGCGAAAACGTGTTTAGAAAAACCTATCATTTTTATTTCAATAATTATATTAAATTTCGGTTAAGATTTAAAATTGCAACTGTATGCATAAATTCACATATTATTTACCATTTTAATTTTATTATTTCGGAATAAGTATTTTTAATAATTATGAAATATGTGCAAGTATTTACCAAACGCCAAAGAAACTGTATTATTTACGACTATACTATAAATTTTGATAAAACAAATAATTAGCAATTGTTATTGATAGGCACATTTTGTATAGGTGTTTTTTGATATGAGTAGTTGTAAGAATATGTTATAACTTTTAGAAAGAAATATATTTTCGAGAAAATTTAAAGATAATATGAATGCGTCTGAGATGTGTTGTTGATGATTTAAATAAGCAAATTAACTAAAAATAGTATGTATGAGAAAAAAATTTAATAGGGGTACATGAATATTTTAGGAGTGGGTCATGAATATTTTTTAAAATTCAACTAGCTTTTATTAAATTACATTTTATAAAATATCTAAACATTTAGTTTTTGTTGTATAAAAAATACAATTCCTTGTTTTCACTTCATATTTAACTAAATACATATGCGAATAATAATATGTACTTAAATACTGATTTGTAAAGCTTATGATTTTTCTATATCATAAAGCTTACAAATGAGTAAATATAATATAGCAACTAAAAGTATATTTATTCAATTCACTTTACGAGATACTGAAGTTCTAATTTATGTTGGATTTAATTTTTCACCAAATTTTTCTACAATTAAATTATTACAATTATGAGAATAGGGTGTAAATCAAATTATATGTCTTGTTAATGATTTTATGTACACGCCGATAGGGGTGTCTAATAATCACGTGAGCGATTTCTAAGGATTTTTGCACCCACCCCTTACCCTTGGTGATACCTGGTGATATTGAAAATAACCACCCCCACGTGTATTTTTAGTACCTTAAAAAATCGTCAAATTTTTGTTTTTTTTTTTGAAAAATTCTAGATTTTGTTTTAAATTGAGATAAAAAATAAATACATGTGATATCTTACTAGACCTTCCCCTTCCCCACGTAATATTTCGTGATTTTTTTTTCAAACTCTCCTACCCCCCTCCTCTGCCTTTAAGGGTCACGTTAATAATGAGGACCCTTAGGACGATTTTCCACGGACCGGATCAAATATGTGTCTTACGCGAGAAAGCGTATTATGCGGGACAGTAACAATAGCTATATAATATAATAATTTTGTTTGTCTTCGAAACAATGCCAAGGGCGTGTAATTTGTTCCATTATTATGTTTAGACGGGACCCCAGATTTATGTTTTCTATGAACTCGCGTCACGTTTCAAAATATTAGACCCATAACACATGTAAGATCATATTGAAATCGTGCTCAAAGTAATAAACAATTATGAAAAATGAATCATTTGTAATTAGGTGGAATTTTTTTTATTTAAAAAGCGAATGACCGGTGTTTGATCTATGTTCTAATTATTGCTCATAGATGGGACGTGTCGCGTATAAACATTTTTATCGAAATAAAATTTATCATTATTATTTATAATTTATTATTACATTTTATCGCATAAAAAATATTTTAGTATGTGTTTGACAAAACGTTCGCATGTTTTGCGTCAAATATTATCTTTAGCTGTGTTTTGCAGTGATCGAAAATGAAAATTTAATAATAACACAAGGTGAAGACGTGAATAATTAAATTTTTAAATTTTTATCCCTCTACGGGCCCACCTAACTTTTGAGTCACATTCCAAATTTTTGGACATTTCATCAAATAATCATTAAATAATAATTAATTTTATAACATTTTCAAGACAACCAATATCAATATTTATTATATTTGCTAAGCTTTTCAACCTGAAATAACATTTTCGTACACAGAAGTGCGAAGTTCGAAGATTATAGCTCATTGTGACTTAAAAGTCACATAATTAATTGATATCAAGAAAATTCTTTAAGCTAAATTCTTTGTTTTCTATTTGCATATATAGGCTTATCATTACTAATTTTTGATTCCTTTAATTTTTCATGTAAAGCAAAAATTTGGCCCATGGATGGTTAAACTAGGAGCGATTATTGATTTAAGTATATAATTTCAATTTGTCTCTCTTCAAAATATTTTATATTATATGGCTCATATTTTATAACTGATTACTACAAATCCACAATGATCGAAAAACAAAACTTTTTCTTTTAACTTGTTAGTTTAGCACGCCCATATGGATATCTCCCACTACCTACATAAAATGATCTATTAACGCTTATATATATATATATATATATATATATATATATATATATATATATATATATTATACTCGTATTTTACAGCTATATTTAGTTTTATTAGATTATTTTAACCATTTCGGCGCTATTCTATGAAAATCAAGCATTTAATTCCTATGTATTTGCATTTACTGCAAATTATGCAGCAAATATTAATGCTCATGAAACATGTTTCATTACATATATGGAATTAAGAAAATCTATAACATTTTCGTAATTATCATCGACTTCTGTAAAAAAAAATTACCTTTAATTTACATACTTCTTATTACAAACGTTCGAGACGATAATTTTATCATCATATTGTATTTACATAGTTTTATTCTATATTTTTCAATATTTAATTAATTATTTACAAAATTTAATTATTTATGACATTTTTTATGAGT